TTTAAAATTCGCGCGCTGTATATTTTTCGATATTTTAAGTTTATGTAGTTTGGCAGCACTGTCCTTAATTACTATGCCAAAAATGAGCTCGATCTGTCAGACAGTTCGTTTACGGCAGCTGTTGAAACCAGTTCACCTCAGTAGTGCGTTGCGAAATGTCTTCGACGGTCGTACGACCGTCCTGGAAGGCTTTGTACCACTCATAAACTTGAGTTTTCGATAAAACTGATTCCCCATAAGCCTTTTGTAGCATTCGCAACGATTCTGCACACGAAATTTCGTTCGAAACACAAAATTTGATGCAAACTCTTTGTTCAATATTTTTTTCCATTGTTTTTTTCGCAACGCCCTACTGAGGTGAACTGGTTTCAACAGCTGCCGTAAACGAACTGTCTGACAGATCGCGCTCATTTTTGGCATAGTAATTAAGGACAGTGCTGCCAAACTACATAAACTTAAAATATCGGAAAATATACAGCGCGCGAATTTTAAATGAGAATTTCCGAAAGCTTTTCGGTCTTAATGTATACGTTATTACAAGGACAGTTCAAAATACACAAAATCAGCGATAATTTTTTTATAATAGTGAAATTGAATTAAGTATCCATTTAAAAATTTTTTATTTTATTACTTTCTTTTTCAAAAAAGAATACCATTTAAATGGTATTAAAGAAATCTCAGTAAACACTATAGAAAAAATGAAATAAAAAAAGTATATAACAAAAATAGATTTAAGGATCCGATTTACGGGTGCCACAATGAAATTTTGTTAAAAAACTTTTCAATAAAAGTGCTAAATCAAACTGGGTATTTAAAAAGCAGTGTAAAATTTAACAAAAAATAAAGAAATTGTAAATATTTGAACTTCTGTGTAAAACATTAACTTAATTATATTAATTAATACTTTCAATAAGTAATTTTAATTTTTAATAACTTTATTATGATATCTTCAATGCAATTTAAATGGCAGTACTGAGGGTTTTTTAAACCAAAAAAGTTGTTAATATAGTGCAAAATTTACCAGCATATTAAAAACAATTGCGAAAATATGAATTTTAATAAAACATATACTATTTATAAAAAAATTAGCAATGAAACAAAAATATTCACGCTAAATAAATAAACTTATTTTAAACAGTTATAAGTAATATGCAATTAAATTTAGTTAATAGTTCCAGTTAATTTAAGTTAATGTATAATTAGATATCCAAGGTTTATAGTTGTATTCTATATAATTTAAGTAATAAAATTTAGTTAATAATTCTATTGTATTTGATATAAGAATATAATAATAAAAACTTAATATATAAGACATAATCAATTATTGTATAATATGGTATTTATGAATATTCTTCATGAAACTAGTGTTACTGTATGGCATAGCCGGAGTCTTGACAGCCAAACATATTAAGAGCATTTACACTAATAACAACTGTGGCTGCGCTACTCCGGTGTTTTCGCATCATGTCATAGGCAAACATCATATATTAGTATGAACTTCATACTATGAAGCCAGTATAAAATTTCAGCAAAAATCAAATTCTAAATAATTTGGAAGACTTGTGTATTTCATGCACACGAAGCCAGTCATATATTTGAAGGAAAAAAAAAGCACACAAACAAAATCCAAGCATCACATGCATATATATATTTAGTAAGTGTGCAATAAAAAGAAGAGTAGAAAAAATTTACCAAGAAACTTACATATGCATGAACTAGAAGCTATGTATGCATTTGCTCTGATATTAGAGTTTTTTCTATATGATTTTGTCCAAGCAAAATACAACATGTTCGCTATTGGTTTGATTGCTGACTTCACTAACAAAATAGCATTGATAATACATAAAATAATAAGTTCGATTGTTTATACTGTGACGACTAAATTTTTTTTGAATAAATTTTAGTCTGCCACAATACGCATTTCACACGTTCACATTTTCACACGTTTCACAAAAATGCTGACGTCAAAGATAACTATAATTAAATAAAATTTGATGTTATGTACTCCAACTTATCTAACATATGCTATACATACCTTGAAATACCCTGACGAATATTGATTTTAATTAATATAGTTCGAACTATATTAATTAAAATAAATTTAAATTATTTTTCCGAACCGCATGAAACACATTTTATTAAAAACAAAGCATAAGCAAAACAAAAATAGAAAAAATGAGAAATGTCATTTATTAATTTGTTTTGTGCATTTCGGTTGATCGCCAAAAATTGCAGCGGATAATAGAAAAAAAGCTGCGAGCGTAATTTAAAGCTTTCAGAAGTCAACAACAGAATACCTGATGAGGGGAAATGTTGAGGGTATTGACCGAACAACGGCTAGCAAAAAAGTCCGCTCGACGCAGTTAGAAAAAAAAGGAGAATAAAAGGCGCAAGCGGAGGAGTTTTCGGTCTCTTGGCTCGTGGTTAAGTTGAACGCAACGCAACGTACCGGTGGTGTGAATTACTTAGTTTTTTATTTGTCCATATATAGAAATAATTTATTCAAAAATTATTTATATACTAAATTTAGATTTTTTTCTAACTTTAGTTATTTTTTTTTGTAAAATTAAAAATTGCTTAAGAGCATAAAGTATCAAATAAAACTTTGATTTTATTAAATAAAATTTACTTTGGTGCTATTTTCTTAGCCAACTTTTGCATCTCGGGATAATAGTGTTAATAGCCACAGTATAAAAGAAATAGTTGACGGCTTTAACAGTGGTCAACTAAAAGATTTTGTACTGGTGCTCGTTCGAACATATAAACGTGTTGACACCACAAGCAAAAGACGTGGCGCGGCTTTGGTGTCTCTTTGTCTCCGATACGTGGCAAAGTTTAAGTGGATTGGCGATTCCTGATAATCAACGCTGGACATTGTAAGCTGCCCTGATGTACCAGAGAGGGTAAGGCTTATATATGTATAAAATACAGAAGTCAACAAATAATATGTATAAAAATCGAAATTAAACTGAAAACAAGATATTTGTGAAAAAAATGTATTCTGTAATATGCAAACATAATCTTAATTAATTATAAAGTGTAACATTAAAAATTTAATTACTTAATCCACATTTAAGGAATGTAAAAATATTACATAAAATTCTAAGTGAAATATCAAAGTAATCTTCACACGACTACGCTTAATAGAAATTCTTCTTCCCTTATATTTTTATTTAAAAACATTTTATGAGTTTTTTTTATAAATTTTGTTGTATTTAAGTGAACACAAAAAATGCATTTATAAAACGTTAAACTTAAAATATGATTAATTAATATTATTTTTTTTGTAAAAAAAATTGAAATCAGTGAAATATTATTTGCTTATTATTAACTATGAGTAATTGTAAAGACATTATTTGATAAATTGTTTTTTTTATATTTAAAATACATTTATGGTTATACATATATTACAAATTGTTAAAAAAAAAATTGAAATCAGTGAGATATTATTTGCTTATTATTAACTATGAGTAATTGTAAAGACATTATTTGATAAATTGTTTTTTTTATATTTAAAATACATTTATGGTTATACATATATTACAAATTGTTCAATAAAATTGAAATCAGTTAAATATTATTTGATTATTATTATTTACGAGTAATTGTAAAGATATTATTTGATAAATTGTTTTTTATTTAAAATACATTGATTGTTATACATATATTACCAATTGTTTAATAAAGAAAAAAACTTGAATTCGAAAATAATTACTTTGTTACAACATCTTACTTCAACGGTAGAAACGACATTAGTTGAACGCTGGGTCCCCGCGAATAGAAATTTTCTTGTAAGACCTTGGACTAGGCTGAGAACTACCCCGGCTAGGAAAAATAGGTTCATTACAAGTGGCGCCCGAGCAGGGACCCTCGACGAAGGTTCAACAAAATACATCGAAACACAGCTAGTTCTTTAGTTTCAGACATCACAAAACATCGTATTTCAGTTAATATGGGTCGCAGCTGGGTAAGAAATTTACGCAAAGAAGAGTGTCCAATTTGGACATAATAATGATCAGCCTAAATCTTGTATTTTAAATAATATATTTTAAATTATATATTTCATATTAATAATATTCTATTATTTTTGTTTTGTTGTCAAAGCAAATTTTTATTCTCATAATGTTAATGACTTGATGTCTTAGCCTTGAACGGTGGGTTAAGATATCAAAATTTATCAAAACAACAACAACAGTTGTATATCACACGAGCACACTTTGATCGTCATATGAAACTGCAGATAAGCCATGCATTTAGCATGTGCAATTCTTTAATATAGAACATTATGAGAAATTAAATTTGCTTGTGCAAGGTCAGTATTGTACTTATTAAATAATAATTATGTTTGTAAAGCAAGCTGGTATATGGACTTAGTTCAAGGTTAAAAGAAAATAAGTTTATAAGCATATACCAGGTTGCTAAGGAAATTACGCAAGTAATATTCTTTTTTGTCAATGCATACAATTTCCATGAGAACTGTGACCGTTCCCACAACTATGCTGAGCGATACCTAATCGCTACTTTAATGCAGCTTAAGTTATAGAGCATTATCGTGGGAATTGTATGCATTAACACCTTGCCAAATGTGTATAAAAACTCAACATTTTTCTAATAAATCATTCATTCAATACAGAACAGCCCTTGCGTTTTAATTAGTTCAAGTGCTTATTAAAACTCAATTGCAAATAGGTTCAAGTGCCTAGTTGCTCAAAAATATTGTTATTGTTTGAATCCACCTGAAGTTGGTTTAAGTGCCAAATTCAGACCTTGCAATAGGAACTGGTTCAAGTGCCAGATTCCTAACCATAAGCAACACTGAATCGATTCAAGTGTCGATTCAGTTTCAATAAGAAACGACTTATTGAACATTTTTGGTGACCCCGACGTGATTCACCGTAAGGATCACGTTTTCATCAATCCAGTGAACCTGCTCAGAAGGACCACGTTATCATCAATCCAGTGAACCTGCTCAGAAGGGTATTATTGCTGTATTTACAACCATGGAAGTCATGGCAGAATTGATTGCCAAACAATCAGAATTGGGAAAACAAATCCAACAACTGATCACTAACTTCAAAAAGGACTCAAAAGAGAGGCAGACATCCCCTCGATACTATGAAGAGCGTATTAGGCGACTCAACGAATTATGGGAACAATTTGACCATAACGACACACAAATCAGGAATTTGCCAGATTTGGATACGAGCGTTGCATATTTTACCAGCAACTACTTTCAAGAAATCAAAGAATTATTTGAAAAATATGAGCATATTTTCGAAAATGAATTATCAACCAAAATACCTCCAACACCTTCCTCAAAGGAGTCAGCAACGACAGCACGTCAACCGATGCCGTCACCAAGGGAAGGACAATATAGCACAAGTATAACACGAATGATACACAAGCAAGGTGCAATTTGTGTATCACTGAAGCGACTCATAGCAGGCATCAATCGTCAAACAGGCGTTCAGATGAAATCCTTTTATGAAGTGAATATGGCAAGAATTGAGAAGCTATGGAACGAGATTGAAGCCATTAATTTTGAAATTTGGGAGTACACCAACAATCCGACTACAGTGGGATATAAACTCGATGAGTACCTCGAAATGGAAGAATTGGTTCAGTCAACTTTAATTTCGTTGGCTTCAAAGAAAGCAAATGATGAACAATCACAACAAGGAAGCAGTAAACCAGACAGCGCTGGTGTATCACTGCCTAAGGTAACAATACCAAAATTCGATGGCGATTATTTGAAGTGGTGTCAATTCTATGATTTGTTCACCGAAATGATTCACAAGCAGCAGCTTTCTAACGCTCAGAAAATGTGGTATCTCAAAGGTAGTTTAACAGGAGAAGCAGAAGGCTTAGTCCGACACCTGTCAATAACCAACGAGAATTATCAAACGGCATGGAATTTGCTACAAGAACGATATCACAACAAAAGAATTATTGTAGCAACAATCATTCAAAGAATTCTAAATCAACCAATAATATCAATCAATCCTTCAGCGGCAGAAATAAGGACACTACATGATGTTACATTTGAAGGATTGCTGGCTCTAAAAAATGTGGGACTCGAAACAGATTCATGGTCGCCGCTACTGCTTCACAGTTTGCTCCTCAAACTAGATAAGCAGACTCGCATTTTGTATGAACAGTCGCTGACTCATCCAAGAGAGATTCAGTCGATTAAGGAGTTCATGATCTTCCTGGAATCAAGATTCCAGTCCTTAGAGGTAATTGGCCATAGGGAAAAGCCATACTCAGCAAAAGCCCTTGCCACAACTATGGGAAAGGCAAATATATCAACCTGTAAGATCTGTAATAATGGATCACATCCGATATATTATTGCAAAACATTCTTGCAATCAACACCACAAGGTCGTATCAAGACAGTACAAAAACTTAGACTGTGTTTGAACTGCTTACGTACTGCAAAAGTTCCCGGTGCAACAAGTGCAGCAAGAACCACAATTCGTTGTTGCACTTATCAGAGTCTTCCAAGACAACACACAAATCGATCAATGTCAAATCAGATTCATTGGTTGAGAAACCCGGTCATCAACCTTCTACTGTAATCACAGCATTAACACAAAATAAGGGATACGTTCTTCTTAGTACAGTTAATATGAAAATAGCTACGTTTGATGGTGATTTCATTGAGTGCAGAGCAATACTCGATTCTGGATCACAAATAAACTTAATCACAGAAAAACTGGCAAGAAAATTAAAATTGCAGTTACACTCATCACCGTTCTGGATAGAAGGAATTGGTAGAAGCAAAAGGGACACAAAATACAGTGTGACAACAAAAATTCAGTCTCGAATTAATGATTTCAATGTAAATATCAACGCATTCGTGATGCCTCGAATTATCTCAGCCCAACCAACACAATGTCTGGACACTTCTGGTTGGTCAATTCCTCAGAATATAAAATTGGCTGATCCAGACTTCGCGAATCCAAATCAAATTGACTTATTAATTGGAGCAGAATTCTATCACAGCTTTTTATCGATTGGTCAAATCAAAATAGGTGAGGGTCTACCTGCACTTCAGAACACGGTTTTCGGATGGATATGCAGTGGCAAGGTTAGCAACGGTAATCAAAAATTACTTACCTGTGGCATGTGCAGCGAAGCTGACGACGAAGCATTGGATAATATACTTACTAAATTCTGGCAATTGGAGGAAATCAATCAAACGGATGACAAATTCACTGATGCAGAAAAGAAATGTGAAGAATCTTTTGCTCAAAATACTCACCACAATCATGAAGGGCGATTTGTCGTGAAACTACCATTTAAGGAAGATACAACTGTTCTTGGTGAATCCATGCAGATGTCGATGAATCGATTTTTTAGTCTTGAACGTCGGCTGTTGAGGAATTCTGAACTAAAGAAGATGTACGTTGACTTCATGCGAGAGTATGAACATCTCGGCCACATGGAAAAAATCAATCAGGATGATATAATGCATCCACATTACATTTTGCCACATCATTGTGTAATCAAGGCAGATAGTACTACAACAAAGCTTCGCGTGGTTTTTGATGCATCTGCAAGAACATCAACCGGAGTCTCACTCAATGACATCATGCATAATGGTCCAGTCGTGCAAAACGAACTCTCATCCATTTTACTGCGTTTCAGGAAACCACGCTTCGTTTTTACAACAGATATTGAAAAGATGTATCGGCAGATACTAATTGATCCACGAGATGAATATCTTCAAATCATTATCTGGCGAGAGTCACCAGAAGAAAACTTGTGCTATTACAAATTAAAAACGGTAACGTATGGCACAAGAGCAGCGCCGTATCTGGCAACTAAGTGTCTACAAACCCTGGCCAGAGAGCATGCCGTTAAATTTCCACTTGGTTCCGCTACACTCAGCAAGGATTTTTATGTCGATGACGGTTTAAGTGGCTCAGACAGTCTCACGGAGGCAATTGCAACAAAGGATCAACTTATTAAAATATTGGTGACAGCTGGTTTCAAACCTCGCAAGTGGTGCGCAAATAATGCCCAATTACTTCAAGGACTCGCTCCAGAAGATCAAGAAGTTGATCTCGATGTCAGCAGTGAGTCACATAAGACAGTAAAAACTCTAGGCCTTATCTGGCTACCAAAATCTGATCAGTTTTCAATAAAAACTAACGGACCTATACACAGCAAAATAACAAAGAGGACCGTAAGTTCCGAGTTGGCGCACATTTTTGATCCACTTGGATTAATGGCTCCCGTAGTAGTGAAGGCGAAAATATTCGTTCAAAGATTGTGGCAGTTAAAACTTTCGTGGGATGAAGCTCTGCCTGCTGAAATGCATACTCAATGGACCCATTTTCGTCAAAGCTTATGTGAAATAAACAATGTGAAGATTCCACGACATATATTTCATCATAAACAACCAAGGAATACTCAGATTCATGTATTTACTGATGCCTCCGAAAGGATCTATGGAGCTGCCATTTACATCAGAGCCGAAATGACTGATCGAACTATCTCAGTTCAGTTACTTTGTTCAAAATCACGCGTCGCTCCATTAAAAACGCAGACAATACCAAGACTTGAGTTATGTGCGGCTTTACTAGGAGCACAATTGGTAGTAAAGGTAAAAAAGGATTTGGAATATGAACATCATCCGATATTTATGTGGACTGATTCTGAGATAACATTGCATTGGATCAATTCAGAACCATCAACATTCCAAACTTTCGTTGCTCATCGTATCAGTAAGATTCAGCAATTAACACTAAAGGAACAGTGGAGGCATGTCAATACTAAACAAAATCCAGCTGATCTATTATCCAGAGGTGTAGATCCAATTTACATTCAGAAGAATGCAATGTGGTTTTATGGGCCACTTTTCCTTCATGGAAATCAAGAATGCTGGCCCCAACCATTCCGTCAGGAATTGATAACATCCGACCATATACAAGCGGAAGTCAAAAGCAAGGTGCATGTGCTTACAATTTCACATGATGATGAACTAATCAAAATGATTTATACGATAAGGCATGGAAACTCATTCATAAGGTTGCAACGAATTCTTGGCTATGTGTTGAGATTCATCAAAGGGTTACGTAATAAGAGCAAGCACAACGACATCAATTTGACACCATTAGAACTGGATGAGTCATTACTCATAATTATAAAAGCCATACAGCTAAGTGATTTCAATGAAGAACGACATCAACTCTTAAAGAAAAGGGATCTAAAGGGAAGCAGTAGTCTCCACGGACTTTCTCCATTTATCGATGATAGTGGCGTCATCGGGGTTGGAGGTCGATTGACGTCAACACATCTTACCTACGATGCCAAACACCCCATGCTGCTGCCATATAACGATCCAATAGCTAAGCTCATAATGAAACATTTACATGAGAAGGGACTTCACTGCGGACCGCAAACATTATTAGCCCAGTGCAGGCAGCGATTTTGGCCAATAAAAGGCAAGATTATGGCTCGATCCATTGTGCAACATTGTGTACAATGCACTCGAGTACGCC